TACTTAATGCAATGATGAAAGCTGCAGTTTATGAAAATGTTATGACAAAGCCAAAGGCTTTGATAACATGAGAATAATTAGAGAGAATTGTTTGAGTAATTCATTCAAATATGTATAATCCAACAACAACAAGCCTTTGTCCCACTAAGTGGGGTCGCCTACATGAATCCAACTCCTTTCTTCTGTAAAACTCTCTAAAGGAATTCTCTCGGAACCTTATCGTAAACTTTTTCTAAATCAATAAAAATCATATGCAGATCCCTCCTTGCTCTCTGTACTTCTCCATCAAACCTCTCAATAAATGTATAGCTTCCATAGTAGACATGCCCAATATAAATCCAAATTGATTATAAAAAAATTTTTGTATTACGTCTTAACCTATATTCAATTACTCTCTCCCATAAGTATAAAGTATGACACATTAACTTAATTCCTTTATAATTGGCATTATTGTGCATCTCTTTTATTCTTAAAAATGAGGAACAAAATACTCTTCTTCCACTCCCCATACATCTTTTTAGTTTTTAAAATAATATTAAAGAGTTTATTAAGCCAAAAAAACTCTCAAATCTCCTAAATATTCCCACACTTTAATAGGAGTATCATCATGTTCTACTGATTTTCTACATTTGATTTTCTTTAAAGTCTCAACTTTTCTTTTTTACTAATTTGACAGTAAAAATAAAGTATTTTATTATTATTAATGATAAGTCGGTTGTATTTTCAGAAACTTCATTGAAAATTTATCAAAATAGCTCACCAACATAGTTGAATATCTTTCTCTTAGAATAACACTTTTTAATTTTCATTTTTAATAAATTTTACTTCAATTAAATTTTTACTTTTCTTTTTCTCTAGCTGCTTTCTGTATATATTTTTCATTCTCTAGTATATAATCCATTATGAAGATCACGAAAAGTACAATTATTTGTGTCACAAATTATCTTTTTAGTCTCTCTACGGGTCACCTAATATTTTTCTCAGTTCTCTAAGCTTTTACACTTAAACCAAATTTAATAACACAATTTTTTATTTTTTATTTTTTGCTGTACATTATTATTCCATCATCAACTATATATATAACATCTTTTGCTACTTGTATAATAATATTTGTTACTTTATCCCACATATAATTAGTTTGTTCAAAAATATTACAATTTTTGTAATCTTTAAGTTTACTCATAAAAATATTTTTATTTATATTTTATTTACTCATATCTAATTCTGTGACAATAATTCATTATATTCTTTATCTTGCAACTCATCTAAAAATTCAGAATTGATAATCGATGTTGAGTACTTAAACTTTTACTTGGAATGACCTTACATTCTCAACAATCTCGCTTTCTCATAAGAAAATAATCAATTTGTGTTTTATCAAGTTCATTCTTATAAGTAATAATATGCTCATCTTTTTTTTAAAATAAACTATTTGCAATAACAAAATCATACGCAAAAACAAAATTTAATATGATTATAACTTTTTCATTAATAATTCTAAAAAAGTAGTTACCATGAATATTTTTAAAATATTCTATCACACTATCAATGTGTCCATTTAAATTTCATCTAATAAAAATATATTTTTTCAAGAGGTATCATTTGTATTAACTCTTTTAAGTTATTCCAAATTTTTTTCCTTTGAACCTATATCTAAACCTACTTAAGGAGCCACTTATAACATTAAAATTCTTAGTGTCAACAACAATCTTTAGGATTTTCTTTTATCAATTATATTAATCTTGACAATATTATCTTTCATACTCTTTTTTATAATTACACCACCATTTAAGTGTTATTTCTACCTGAGTGCCAAAGTTTGAAAACTAAGCTATCAATCTCTTTAGTTTTTTTTTCCAAACCATTTTGTTTCTTGAATGCATAAGATATTTATCTTTCTATGAACCATAATTTCTACTAATTCTATTAATTAACTCATGAAAGAAGTTATATTCTAAGATCATATTTTAATAGTACTTTCATGAACTAACTTATTTGCCCACATTCATTCATAATATATAAACTATTGCTTATTTGACACTGCACCCGACGCCGATGTAACGGCCCTTGCACATTTTTTTCTGTATTCAGGTCATATTATGCATCACTTCTAGAGGTCACTCTAGCATTTACACAATGATTTTAAGGAATTCATGTCATGATTTTTTGACAAATTTTATGTTGTTTGTCAACTACATAACTCAACCCTCTACTTTTCGCATCCGGGACTTGGGACCTTACAATTACAATGTTCAAATTTGTATAGTATTTATACAAATTTAGGAGAGCATGTAACATGTAACACACAAATTGAAGAAATGATTACTACAAAAAGTTTAATTTAGTTTATGTGTTTAGAAGTAGGGTTGTAAATGCACCAATGCACTTGATGAACAAATTTAATTCGGCTTGATTATTAGTCTATTATTTTTGTTCAAATTAATAATTTAACAAATTTGGACATTTTTTAAAAACTCAGAGCTTAAATGAACGAATTCAAATATATACAACTCACTTATTAATGAACAAACTCATTTGTTCAACAAATAATTTATTAATTGCTATATACTTATTTGATATATTATTTAAATAAATCTGGAGTAACTAGAACAAATTTTAAATTTGAAAGCTCATCTCAATCTTGAACTGAACATGAACAATTTATGATTTGATCAAACCAAATCCAATCATGACATACTCGACCTGACACGGCTCCATTACAATCCTTTTTATGACTGTAGACAACAGGGTTCCCGTGGATCAATAAGGTAGCAATGGAAGAGGAATGAAAGATTATGGAAAGTCTTGATGAGTCCTGGTCCTAGTTTGGCCGAAAATATGTCCTTGTTTGGCCCAAATAAATTTAATATTTTTATGTTTAAAATCATACAACAAAGATGCTAACCTAACAGTTTCTTTCTTTTTTAGTTATGTTTGAATATTATTAGTGAAGTTTTGTTTTTTTTTTAAAGAGAAATATTCGGCTCCCATTTTATTTCTCAAACAAAAAGAAGTACAAAAGGAGATAAAAGGAACTTAATAAAACACCCAAAACAACTCACGCAAAAAGTAAAAAACCTAAGGTTCCTCAACCAAAAAAAGAAAAATACAACTCACACACACTACCAACCCACAAAAAAGCAACAGCAACTAAAAAAATTAGAGCAAGTCCTGCATAACCAACTATAATAAGGCACCAGGAAAAACCTTTGAAACTAGAGCAGAGTGCAGATTGGATACAACCATAACAGCCTAGTGTGCCACCTTATTATCATGTCGTTTAATATGTGATCAACAAATATCCAAATTCCTTGTTAAGACTTCAATTCTCTTCATTTGAAGGTTAATGCTCCAATGATAATCAGTTTTATACCTACAGCACTTCCAAAGAATTAAAGATTCAATCTCAATAACAAAATTTGATTCCAACCAAGCTTCTTAGAAATCTGCAAACCAAACATTAGAGTATCAGCCTCAACAACCAAGGGGGAAACAGGGACAGCAGCAGCAGCCGCAAACCAACAAATAATACAACCCATGAAATTCCTGCAAACACTTCCAACACCAGCCTTATTAAGTTTCCAACTACCAATAACGTTAATTTTTTTTGAAGATTAATTCTTTTCATTTGAATGTAATTTTTTTTAGAATTGCATATAATTTATTATAAGTTTAGGTTTAATTTTTATTTTATTTCTTTGACTTTTTAATTATATTTTTATAAATATGGATTGATGGCAGATTATTGAACATGGATATTAGATGAAATAAATTATCTGAGGTTTAATTGAAATCTTTTTCTAAATTTAAGTTCTGTATGATTGATGACTTTACGTTTGTGGACGTAAAACTTATCATTATCCTTTGTCCGCCATTTTTGTCAATCGGTATCAGACCATCATTAATGTCTTGTTCTTCATTGATATTATAGCAAAATGCAATCAGATATATTGCAGCTTTGATCGATGCGATAAATTTCAATCTTGCATCCCGATTCCATTGGCATCCTTCAACACATCATTGCATGAGCCAGATCATGCTTGCACCAAACCTTTCCCACGACTAACCCTTATGCAGCGCTGAAACCTTAAATATCAAATTCCCCTTATGTTCAAAATTTGCCTGAGCCCCAAAACCAAAACCTTAAATCCTCTCACTAATGCGAGGTGTCTGGCTATCTTTTCTTGTTTCAGCCTTCCACTTTTTCATTAATTTGATATAAGAACCTCCTGTCATTTTTTATCTTTCTTCCCACCAGTAGTTGCTGTATGAGGCGGCCCATGACTGGCTAATGGTGGAGAATGGTTGCCGAATGGCCAGCAATGGCGATGAGTAAAGTGGTATGCAATGATCAGGTAGTGGTGAGGCTATTTCTAGGTCCATCAGTCGGTGAATTTTAATCTTTCAGCTACTAGTGATGTTTGTTAATCCGGAGAACCTACTGGAGTCCAGTTTGTAAAAATGGTGAAATATGAAAGTTTAGGGAACCATTGGCCCAAAGCAGCAATGTAATTTACTGAAGAAAAAATGATAGTTTAAGCCATCTTCTTAGTGAAATCTGCCTTATTCTTGGTTTGAATGCAAAAAGGTTTTGTTAAGCATACATTGCAAAGAAATTTCTGGGGAGTATTATTTTTCTTGTCTGATACGACCAAATTTACTGAAGAAGAAATGATTTCATAGGAATTTTGTGTTGCGGGGTTGTTGTACGACCAAACACCGATATAAATAGCATGCCACCAAATGCTGCCTTTTTTCTTATTCATGGTTTGAAGGTATTTTTTTTCTAGCCTGATATGATCAAATTGGGTTGTAAGCCTGATCATCAATGTGGGACATTCAGTAATCCCCTCCCTAATTACTGGCACTTTTTTATTTGTCTTTACTTCTGTTGGATATTAGTTAAAAAGATGTTATTCCATATTAAAGGCATATATCGCATCTCATTTCTCGTTCTTCGTTTAGTGTTCTGTCTGATTAACATATCATTTTCAAACCAGTTTGTATTGCAGCAATATGAGAATACTTTCTCCAAAATATTAAATGATGTGGTCAATGAGATAAGGCGTCAGAGATGCTCCTTTCTCCGGTATGCCAAATCTGAATACTTCGTCCATATAAATTTAAGTTTGCGCATATGAGGGTCAAAAGTGTTATTTTATTATCTTTTTCCTTTTGCAGTATGCGATTATGCAGAAAAGGTGATCCGTCGGGTCAGTATGCAAGTTTTCCTTCGCAAATTCTTCCTACCTGATCACAAATTTTTGAGAGGATTGATTTTTTTGATTTTCTTTTATTTGCAGGAATGATGCTTTTCCTCTCGAATATGGTCGACGACAAGGCCCCCGGTGGTCTTTCCTACGTCGAATTTCTTGTACATGTCCATCGGCAAATTCAAACAAAAATGGCATGAGTCGGCTTCGTTCTTTGGTAATCTTTTCAATGACTTTTTTGATGTATACAAGAGCAACAATTTACATAGAAATTTGCCTGTTAGCGCTGTATTCTGCTATCATTGCCAATGGTCATGAAGGCGTCAGTTAACGAACAATATTCAGAATTTTCTGCCCTCCTGCGTTTTTTTTTGTCACAAATGATAAATTTATATTATGCAAAGAATGATAATGAGTAGCTCATCCAGTGTTTTTAAGTCTGAGAACATTTGCCCATTTTTGCCCGGGTTTTGCTATTTATAACCTGTACACTGGTCTGTAATTTGTGCCAATTAACAACTGCAAAATGTAGAAATAAATAAAGCTGTGGCTATTTATATATATTTGTTATAGGTTTTATCAAGTTTCTATTTAGACATATTCATGGATTTGGATATATGCTCATCTTATATATAGTATTTTATTTTTAGTGGCATTTACATACATACCTCGCAATTTTTATGTATTTACATATCTAGGACCTAAACATTCATATATATAGTGCAATGCACTATATATATAGGGTTGTAAACGAGCCGAGCTTGAGCGAGCTCAGGCTTGACTCGTGTTCGGCTCGTTCGAAATCGGTTCGTGAACAGTGTGTTCGTGTTCGGCTCGAAATTGGCTCGTTAAACTAAAATTGAGAAAAATAGATATAAAGTGTGAGATTCGAATCTGGATCAAATATATACAAAAGAAGACTTTAACTATATTGCCGCATGAAGTGTTATGATTTAAACTTAGACATAAATATATATAATATATTATTATATAAACAATACATATAATATATTCTTATATAAAAAGTTAGTTATATAATTTTTTTTTCGAGCCGAACACGAGCGAATAAACTGTTGTTCACGAACGAGCTGAACACTAACTGTTCACGAACGAGCCAAATTGACAGCCCTATATGTATATATCCACACACACAGCCAAAATGAGTGTAAAACGAACAAACAAATCTTTGCTCGTCTAGAGACACACAGACACGCACACTCACACGCACTATGAGATTTGCTAAAAAACAATTACATAAATTGAATTAGCATATCTGCCCATAACATTTTCTTTAATTTAAGGAGGTGACATCCCCCTCATTAATTTCAAATATACTTAAATTTAGCTTCATTTTAAGTTCGGCATATTCATAAATAGACTGCTTAAAATTATTTAATTATTATACCTAATTTATATTTGACTTATTTATATCAACTAAGCAAGCCAAAAATTTAACCTAATATTTAAATTTGACTATAAAGTTTAAAATTTTAATTTTCTTGACATTTCACATAAAACAAGTAGACAAATTATAAAATCAAATAAATTTAATTCTTTATATAAATATAATAATAAATAATTTTATAAATTTAAATAAAAAAATACTCAAATAAATTAAAAAAAGATTAATAACAAGTTAAAAAACATAAATAAATACTAACAAATTAATCTATTAAAATAAAAATTTTAAAAATACAATATAAATTATACTATTTTTTATGATTTGCATTTACATTTCACAGAATTTGTATATTAACTGTAATGAAAATCAATTCAGTATTTGTCATCTTTGCAAAAAAACCCCCAATCTACATTCCTGTATGCATGTGTACACAAATCAAAAACCCTATACTTTTTGGTATATCCACAGATTACCGTCGGGCCTGTAAAAACGATCCAACGGCTACGAGGCAGTCAACTCGAAGAATTAGACTTTGACTTTGAATGGGATGGATATGGATCAACCCAACAGTGATCCGCAGCCGCAGCATTTTCCCATCTCCGCTGGAACATCTCCAATTCCGTATACGACCTCTTCCGGATCTGCTCATTTAAAACCACCTTTTTTTTTTCATTTCTTTTTATTTACAATTAACTCCTAAACTTCATTTTATTTACACAAGATAAAATATTAGTAAAAAACAAAGATGATTTGCATACATACCACTTCAATATAAAAAAAATATTACATCAGGACTCCTAATGCATTCGGAGTCCAATGATGGAGCGTCACATGTCAAGTAGGCTCCACCGTTTTTAACATTGGCCAATACCAGCGTATAACGGTGAAGCCCACTTAACACGTGACGCCCCACTATTGCACTCCGAACGCAAACTACATCATGATGTAATATTTTCTCCTTCAATATTTACATAGCATATTACCCGGCAATGTTTCACATTTTAAAAGTTAAAATAATAATGATTTTGTTGTGATATGAAAGATTTACACAGCGCATTAATGTAAAAAAGTATGGCGGTTAGAGATGTAAATATATAGGAATTAAGCGGTATCTATGTAAAAAATCCCCAAAGAACAAACATAGAGCTGTAGAAAAATCAGAAATCATAATGCAAATACAATGGGCATGGAGAACCAGAACTCACAGCTAATCGACCATTCATGGCACTTGAACCAGACCGCACCTGAATCCAGAAAAAGAACAATTAAATACAATCCACAGATATATATATATATATATATATATATATATAGATAGATAGATAGATATATGCTGTACAACTTACCGGGCTGCTTGCATCAGAAGCATCTGATAAAGAGTTGGGAGCAGCTGTTGTCTGGACATTTATAGCAGAAAATAAATTCAAAAAGAGAATTTGAACGTTAAATTATGAATTTTAACAATTAAGATCGATACTGCGGATTAAAATTACAGGGAGAAAAGAGTATGAAAGATGTCGGAGAGGAGGAAAATATGAGAAAAGATTATAAAATATGAGCTAGCGTAAGATGGTGTTTTTTGGAATTCCCTGGTAAAATATACGCGGAAAAAAGGAGGAAAATGTTTCGTCGGAGCGGCATTTACAGACGTACCGCTTAACTCCTATGTATTTGCATATCTAACATCTAAACTTTACATTCTACCTCCAACCATCCGAATCTTTCATATCACATCAAAAATACCGGTGTTTTAACTTGTAGAAAGTGAGATGCACCTTTTCATGCATGGTTTCAGGGTTTATAAAGGTGCTAAATTAGTCCTCGGACTATTTTGATGGGGCCTAAAATAGTCCTCAATGAAGACTATTTTAAAAAAAAAAAACTCTCGGGATTAAACTAACACTTCCATATACTGTGGAGCGAAAATTTTGATACTTTTATCCTTTTTCATGCATTATAACACCAAAATGTTATAAATGCAAATATCAAACTTCAAGTGTTAGATATGTAAATACAATAAGAATTTTGTGGTATGCATGAAACTTTCCCTTCCTTCTAAAGTTAAAATTTTGGCTTTATAACTTGGAACTAATGATCTAGCAAAATATGCTATAGAAACAATGCGTCCAAACTTCTCATGTTATACAACGCAAACATGCAAACAAAAAATCCTAAAATGGTCCGAAGATTGGTCTTTAAATTGCCGGTCACAAACCCGGATGTGAAAAGTTGAGGGTTGCATTAGATAGTCGACAACCAACGTAAAAGGTCCAAACTTCTCATGTTATACAGCGCAAAAAATGCAAACAAAAAATCCTAAAATGGTCTGAAGATTGGCCTTTAAATTGCCGGTCCCAAACCCATATGTGAAAAGTGGAGGGTTGCATTAGGTAGTCGACAGCCAACGTAAAACTTGTCGAAAAAATCATGACATGAATCCTTTTGATCATTGTGTAAAAATAGTACACAATGGAGAAAAAGGATTCATGTAACCGACCCCACGTAATGGGATTAAGGCTTTGCTGTTGTTGTTGTTATTGTTTTTGTTGTTCGTCTGAAGATTAGTCTTACCTTGCTATCACCACCAAGTGAAGGAATGCCCTTGTGAACAATGTATTCACCATCCACCACTCCAACATTTTTAGTTCTATCACCCTCCAAAAAAGAAAAAAGTGAAAGATCTCAATGCATGAAAATATCATGATTGTAAGAAAAATAACCATGTAATATATGGATGATTGAAGCATATACCTGAGCACAATATCCAAGCTTTGTATCCAGCCCCCAAGCATGAATCAAGTCATTCTGCCATATTGCATGAAAGGAAAAAAATGCATGATTTAAAAGTTTTCAATGCTAAGGACTTGTTTGGGATCACTTTCATTTTTTTGACATGTTAATATATTTGTTTTGAAAAACAAATTAAATTAGTTTTAAAAATACTCAAAGCATATAAAAAATATTTTGAGTGCTTTTAAAAATAATTGAACATGAAGTAAAAAAATGTACAAAACAAAATGAAAAACAAAAATCAAAAGTGATTCCAAACACTCCCAAATTGTTGGATCAATGAAGTAGCGGAAGCGAAAAAATGGATGGATGAAAGGGTTGATGCAATCGATCAAGAATGAGCTGAAAATACCTGGATCATATGCCAAACGCAACGCCAGGCAGCTCTTGAAAAAACAGGAGCCATCATTTCTACCCACCTGAAATTTGCATGATCCAAACATAATGACAACTTTAAATTTCGGATTGCATTACATTTAAAAGGAAGGGGGGGGCATTTACATATTATATAATTCTGATGTATTTACATATCTAACACCTAAACTTGCATTTAAAAGGAAGGGGGGGAATTTACATATTATATAATTCAAATGTATTTACATATCTAACACCTAAACTTTTATATTTACATGCATACCACTCATATCAAAAAGATCATCATCACTATCTTTTTAAAAGTTAAATATATCTTTTTCTAGGTTCATGACACTAAGGTGTTAAAAGTGTAAACATTGAACTTTGGATGTTAGATGTGTAAATACATAGAAATTGTGTGATATTTATGTAAATTTTCCAAAAAAATAAAATAAAACAAGCAAACAAACAATACTTAATTGGAGAAAAGCTGAACACATTGGCAAACAAGAATGTAAATAATTTCAAACAAAAGTCCATGATTTTAAGATAATGCAAGCAAAAATGGGCAATACAAAGCAAAAATGATGGGTGAGTTCAAGTAATATAGCAATATAAGAGACAGAATAAACTGCAAGAGAACATGACGAGAGAAATGGGGAAAAACAGCTTGCAGGTTACATGTGTAAATTTAGAGAGGTTTGTTGAGCCAAACTAAACTCACCCTGTGCATGGTGGCTCTGTACTATTCTTGTAACACCTCCCACCACCGCTGAATTTGTAGGTTCTTCTGTTCAAAGAAAAAAAAAAATTTGTGCTTTAAAAAATGTTAAAATTATTGGGAAAAAAATCAAGAAAACATCCATACATGAAACAAGAAAGGTGGGTATCCTCTAAGCCAGTGCACCGAATGTATGGAACATTGCAAGATTCAACTAAATTAAGATTTAGAATAGGGGTATAAATGAGTTTAGTTGAGCTCGAGCCACCCTCAACTTGAGCTTGAGCTTGTTTTGACCTAGTTCAAGCTCAAGCTTGAGCTAAATTCTACGAGTTCGAGTCATCTCATGAGCTAGCTTGCTTATTATAAAAGAAATAAAACAATATTTATTCAAGAATAGAACGGACAATTAAGAGATAAATAATAGCCAATCACTTGTTATAAAATAAAAAATTTATCTTTTGAAAACAATTTTAATAAATTATAGAAAAAATCTTGAATTTTAACATATATTTAGAGCATTTTATATTAATATTTTTTTGAAGAAGCTAACTGATGAGCCAACGAGTCGAGTCGAGGTTGATTAGGGTTGTAAATCAACCAATGCATATGAAGAATAACTCAAACTCAGCTCAACTTGAATTAAACATGAACAACTTATGATTCAAGCAAACAAAGTCCAATCCATGCATATTCGACTTGGCTCGGCTCGGCTTGATTACAACCCAAGGGCTAACTTGAGCTTTGGCTTGTTAGCTCATCAAGCTCAACTTGCGAGCCATTTATCGAGCCAAGCTCGAGCTGGCTCAGTAGTCATCTTGGCTCAGTTACACCCTTAATTTAGTGTTAGAATCTGGCAAATCAAACAAGAAGAGTTATTTGATAAAAAGGATATTCGGAAGAACCTGTGCACTTTTCCTTTCCTCATACGTACAGTGATTTGATAGTGCACCTGAGATTTAGAAGCATCCAGTGCTGGTTGTGATATTTCCAACCCTTCTTTTTCAATGATTGATATATACCTGAATCTTAAATGTGTTATTGAAACAGTTCCACTCGAAACGAATCACCAGTAATCAGTCAAAAGAATAAGCAGCCGGTGTGATGATAACACCACATTATATATACGGAAAATTTACATATGCAGCACACAACTCTTATCTATTTAAATATCTCACACATAAACCTTTCAAATTTACATACATAGATAGCACCTTCATGCTCTAAACCTATACATGAAAAACTGTATTTCACTTTTAAAAAGTGATAATAGTGCTATTTCTTACGTGATAATAAAAATTTGAGTTCTATATGTAAATATGAAAGATTAGGTGTGAGACAAGCAAATACATAAGAATTATTAACACCCAAGTTTTAAGGAAAGGAAATAATACCGTTTGGGATTAAAATTTTCCACACCAAGATCCTCATCCCAAAGGAAAATGTAATTATACTCGGCAACTATGTCTGGATGCAGGAAACGCTTGGCAAACCACCTTTTTCACATTATAGAGAGTAAAATAACTACAATTTAATCCAGAAGAATATCAAAATTTGCAGAAAATCTGTTGTACCATTTTGTTTGATTGATTGCAGAGACGTGTAAGACACTATCACTCCAATCTAAGTCCCTCCACTCATCCACAGAGCCATCATAGTGAAAAAGCATCACAGCAAAGTTACTTGCATAGAACTGAAAATAAAACAGTAATAAGAATACAATTATGTGTTTGGAAGCACTATCAGACAGGAAAGGGCATCAGCTCCAAGCAAATACCTTTTTAACAATTTCATCCACAACTTTCTTTTGTTTTACTCCAACAGCAATTGCCAGCAAACTCTTTGAGGATTCTACTTTGCCCTATCGCCCACAAAAAAAAAAGAGACACAATATTAAAGTCCAAATTGATTCAATTGTTTAAAATATAATTTTAGCTATTAGATTTAATTTTATTTTTTAGTTTTTAGTTTTTTTTTTTTTTGGCTTTTCCTTCTGTAAAATAGATCAAACAAAAAACCAATATTATATGAATTTCTTCAAGTATTAAATAAATAAAATCATGTAAATAAACAAGTGACATAAAAATCAAAATATATATCATCTATTTCACACGTCAAAATTATAAATTTTAACAAATATAATTTTGCATTCTTATTAATATATGCTATTTAAGCTAAAGTTAAATTGGTTTATACTTAAAGCTATAATTAAATTTTGATAAATAATTTGATTGGTCTATTTTTTGAGTTTTACAATAATGACCGATAGGCTTGGGCTAATTTATAAACCAAACCATCCACATGCACACTCCAATTAGAAATAGTGCAAGAGGTTCCCTCAATGTTAAATTTGGAGGGGTAGATTTACGAAAACTTATAGGGCTTAAGGAAGGCAACTTACACATTTCTCCAAGCTCACATTCTAACTTCAAAAAGAAACATAAGAAAACCTGAGCATGCCAATTTTACTTTCGGAGAACTAGTCAAGCAATCTGACATAAATTTAACATAATAGCACTTACGGTTTTAATTTCAGATTACCACTAATTATTGTTTCAGCAAAGAGTCAAAATCTGCTTATTTACAATATCATTTAAAATAAACTCAATTCCATTGACTCCATTCTACCAACATTAACCCTTTGAAGGACAAGCTTAACAATACAACTTAAAATATTATAGGGCTTGTAGAATTTGGAATTCATATGTTGCGGCTACTTTGAATTTGAAACAACCTTCTCTGCATGAAGGGTGAATAAATAATAAAATTTTAACTGTAAGCATATCATTGTGTATATTAGGCATAACATATGTTCTCATACTAAGTTGTTTGGAATTTCCACTAATAAAAATCAGAATGACAGACAAATAAAATTACTCAGACATGTAAAAAGGGGTAACAAATGGAGTAAAAACCACTAATATTAGAGCTACATGACAAAAACTTGGCAACTAAAATTGGTCTGCGTTTTCTAGCTTGCCATATGAAAAAAGATTCGAAAAGCATCTAAAACTATACCTTCTACCATTGTTAAATCCCAAGGATGTGTCAACAAATACAAAAAAACCAATATTGGGGTGGTTTTGTAGCGATTAAATGAGCAAAAAAAATAATAACTGACACCAACAGTGCAACACCTCTGATAAATTGGTATTGTAACTCATTGGGATTCCAAATGCTTGATAAATCATAGAATACTGTAAGTAATTTGAATTATTTAGAACCAACCTCCACAATATTTGATTTTTAACATATTTTATTAATACTTACTAACTACTGAAATTACATCATTGCCAATAAATATTGTTGTTTTTACTCAGATGTATATGTACTTTGAGAACAAATTAATTCTCCTCATTGAAAAAATGTAGAGACAATGAAGATTCACTTTGCCTCGAAAAGTAACTCAAAACAAATCATTAACCGGTAAATATTTCACATGAAAGCTTGACATTTATATCAAGGGAGAAAAATTTTCCTTTTGTAAATTTGTCATATAAATCATATCTTATTTTAAGAACAAAAAAAGTCATGCGAGCTCTAACATACCTGTGTTGACAATTCCTTCGTGTGAAATTGTTAATCATAGAAGAAGAGCATGAATAAAAAAAGAGAACAATGGCCTCGGTCTACTTTGAAAGCTTCACAAATTCAAATGATAAAGCAACAAACTCTAGTGTGAGTAGAAGTTCCCAATTTAAGGGCTTGCTTTTATGGACAACTACATTTGTCAAGTGATTTTGAGTAAAAACCTAAGGCCTATCACACAATAACATGAGCCAACCCCGAAACAAAACCACAACGAAGTTGATTTAACATTAACATTTTCATTATATGCATTTAGAATGATAATTCTTTACCAAATAGTTCATTTTTTTTCAAGATTCTTGCCTCTTAAATTCCCAATACAACAATAGATTGTAAATTAATTGCCTTAAATGTATCAACGCTAATCCACCGTTGCATGTTAAGAGCTATCTTCTTTTTGTTCTACTATCATAGCCTTCAATATGTCTTTAACTTTCTTGGCAAAACAAAAGCTCAATCGAAGAATAAATCACATTTACTAATAAAATTTGTTGATAGCCAACATTCAACAGAAAAAAATTACTCATGATTATCAAACTTAAGCTTTACCTTCAAATTGGTCACCTAAAAAAAATCGCCTTTATTCATTTAAGTAACAATTTCCAAGAGGAATTGTGGGAACATAAAAATAAGACTAGATCAGCTGGTCCAACCAATTCAACAGTGAACCAATCCTCGGGTCGGTTTGATCCAACTTCAAAATCACATTTGGTCTGAACCAATCAGAACTGGAGTTGAACTGGAGCTAAAGCAGTGAGCAGGGCAGATTGGTGATGAACTTTTTGTTTTTTATTTTAATTGCAATGTTAAAAATGAAAGATATAAATTAAAAAAAAAAAAAAAAAAACATGTCCAGAATCTTTGACTTAAAATTATATTAAAAAATTCAAGAATGAAGTCTCATAAATTAGAACATATATTAAACTATCATAATATTATTATTACATCATTATTATATTATTTAAATTATATTAAAATAATTTTAATAATTATTATGTTATTCAGTTTAACTCTAATTCCACTATTGAATCTTGAATTTGTTTTCTTTCGATTTCCGGCCCGATTTTAAAACCTTAAAATTTTATTACAGTTATCTTTCCTATCAATTATTACCTCTACTATTCTTGCATACCGACAAAATGAATAACCCGTTCTCCTTCACAGAGATCTCTTACATTAACAAAAATTTCATAAAATAAAGACTAAAAAAGACTTGACGCGTCGATGGTCATTCATGTCTTCAGTCATTTAATTGCCTTAACTGGAAAAATAATTTCAGTATGTAAATTGCGAAAATCATGTAGGCGCAAAAGAAGCAACTAAGTTCTCTCCCTTGGCACAATAACTTATTAAACCCATTCCTACTGTCTCAGTATTTCCTTTCAAAATAACATGCCATTCATTTTTTTTTTTTTTTAGAATTAATTACCCCTTCCAAGCAAATTGATGGAGACCGCTGATTTCATTGAATGGTTCCAATACTAAATTTTCACAAACTTGTGCCATGGTTAATAAAATTCTAAAAACATCAAATTTGAATATTTTCAAGATCTAAGGCCACAATAACTATATTACCATAACAAACATGGTATTTGCTAACATCAACTAATAGAAACAAATTGAAATTAGTAATCATGCATAAAAATTTAAAGATGTAAATCTATTTTAACAAATGAAGTGCAATAATTGCAGAAGCAAAACAGCAACGTGCCTAAATTTTTCCTCATGGAATAAGCTTTCACATACCATTCCACTTGAAGAACTCAGGGAGTACTCCATTGTCTGCATTTCTAAATTTGATGTTTTACTAATTATGCCTTGAGGCAGAGCTTCACTCCCTGAAGGCTTGCCATGCTTTTGCTATCCAAAAAAAAAAGCAGACCAAAAAAGCATAAAACTTGTTTACACGCTTGAAAGGCCCCGTTACAAATTAGAAGAGAACAACAATCACGGTATAAATTAGCACAAACAATTGCAGATACAGTGGTAAATAAGCATACCTCGCAAAAACTAGAATTTCTGTTAAGCATTAGCCTTCCTATTCCGTATTCGGATCTTATTTTCTGCACAGAAAAGCATGTACTTTGTTTCATAGAGCTGTATTAAAAAAACTTATCAATATGCATAACTTCAAAAAAATAAAGGAAAATTTACAGACAGCACACAATTTTTATGTATTTACATATCTAAAACCCAAAGTTTGATATTTACACTTATAACATCTTGGAATCATAAACTTACCGATGAGAAGATGTATTTTACTTTTAAAAAGATAGTGAAGGTGTTATTTTTGATGTGAAGCTAAGGATTGGAGTGTTATGTGGTAGATATGTAAATTCATAGAAATTATCGTATGTATGTAAACTCCCTAAGAAAAGAAAAAATTTACCACTAATAAAGCATAGAACATTACATTTTTATAATTAGAATCACTCGGTGAAAAAAAAAAAAAAAAAAATGTTAGCACAGTAAATTGGCTGCCCAAAATCAGGCTGAAAAATACTGCAGCCTCATTCAACGATCAACAATAAATTTCCACAAATCAGCTGCCAGCCTTGGTATAACCATCAAAATACAGTTCTGCGGGGTCGTATTTTAAAAGTTTTGTTTTTGAAATAGTTGTCAAAATTCTGTTTGGCAATATAGCTTTTTTGCCGCTTTTAAAAATTTATATGATGAGAAATAATTTTTTATAACAAAATCTGCTAGATTGTGGTAACTATAAGCAAGTAATTGCCTGACTTTGTCGAAAGAGAAAAAGCCTATAATACTTGCAAAAACTTCCACAAAATATATTATTACATGAAAAGCTCTGTCTACTTTTTTATAAATAATCCTGAACCAAATCTAAGATGGATGTTGTTATTTTACATTGTATAAATACAATGCGCAAAAAGATCTCAGATGTCTATGAGAAGTTTGGCTTCATACAATGTTATGTTATAAGTTTGATTATATGCCATATTTTACACTGACAGAATATGAATAACATTACCAGCCAAGATTACAGTAATCACCTAGAAACCAAATTGGAAGATATCTAGATTATTTCAATCAAGATGGTTAAAATTAATAATAATTAACAATAATTCTTCAAAAGAAGATAACATTTTTAAACTAGAATGGCATTAAACTAAATGCATGACATTTGAAATTAAGAATTGCCATTTGCCAGCAAGAATGTAATGAGATGCATTAAAACTAGTGACTATTTTTACTTATATGATTGAGCAGGTATGTGCCTTCAAAAAATAATTTTATATCCTAAACCTACATAATATCTACAGGAATATACCAGAGAAAATTTTCCTTAAGCCAAGGGGCATCAACTAGTATTCTAGCTCTAACTGTATGAAATATATATATATATATGCACTACATATTATTTCAAAATAATTATGTTATAAATTCTTATTTATTTAAATGAATTTAAATATTTTTTATATTAATTGCAGCATGAAGCATATATAGAATATGCAGCATTTTCACATCTTGCCATATAATTATTCGTTAAACATACTACAAAATGGAATGCGTGAAAGTAGGTCTCAGAACTGCATAATCCCAAAAAAAAAAAAAAAATACATAAGGAAAAGAAGTGAACATGAATAAAACAAACTCTTATACAGCGCACAACAATCTATAAGTATTTTTTACTCAGGGGCGGAACCAAGATTGTCTTTTGGGGTGGGCAAAATCAACATTGCTTGATTTTTGTAAGTATATATATATAAGAAAAAGTTATTAAATTTTACTATCTATATAGAGAAATCTCAAATTTCAGGAAGGGCAAACATAACTTGGTTCCGCCCCTGTTTTTACTTATATTGAGTATTTAACGAAATCACATTTTACCTTGTAATTAACCACGTATGGGCTCCCAACAAGAAAACAAACACATAAAAAAATAGCCATTGGAAAGTAATGGCTTAGACACGCTCTCTTCTGGACAGGATCCGTAAGTAGATGACACTGCAACAATGCAAGGAAGGGAGATCATAAAAATAATATTGATAAAGATACAAACTTGAGAAGTAGATTATTCTTCAAAATTTTACTTAATAAATGCACTCTTAGATAGTACATAAATTTTCAAGTAATGTCAATAGCATTAATGATTTAGCTACTAATAAATTGCCCAAAATCAACATGTCAACAGCAAGTTATATATACGACTTATTATCTATATATTAATAAATGCATAGCATCTTAATCAGTGTCCTCATCAATAATCACTAATTTATAAAATTAATGACTAATATTATTAATAGCATAAGTATGCTTTACAAATAATATTAATGGAATTTCAATCATCAAAAAACTATCCCCAACTTTTGGAGTGATAATAAGCCTGTTCGTGGAGAAACGAGAAAATTACAATTATTTGCTGACATATTCATCAAAGATATTAAGCTGCAACAAGTGAGCCGATAAAAAAATTAACCATGATTAACGATACACACAACAACTTGCTGCTTAATTATCAATAAAAAATACTACAACATACTACCGGCAATTAAATTATCATGAAAATAATCAATGAGCATATGAGCTAGTAAAATGTAAAAGCTGGCATAACTATCATATCCTCCACAATTTAAATTCATCATACATTCTTTAGCTTAACCTAAGATTAAGATTAAAAAAAAAACTTTGCTAAAAAAATAAGATTAAGATTAAAAAAAACTTTGCATATATTCCAAATAGCTTAACCTAAGATTAAGATTAAAAAAATTTTGCTAAAAAAATAAGGTTTTTTTACATACATAGGAAGTGAAACCACCTAATTTACATATCTCACACATAAAAGTTTAATATTATGGATTTCGAACACAAGTTAATGCCTCCGTTGAAAACAGATAGAGTAAGAAGAGCTCCGTCGATGAACAAAATGAGGAATAGACGACAACAAGGAAATGCCATCGAGGAAGTTCAGGCTTTACTATAAGTCGTTGCTCCTCTAGTCAACAGGATTGCGACGTACAAAGACCTCCAAAACTCTTATTTTTTTCCTTTTTTTGTCTCGACCCTACTGCTCCTCCAGTCAACAGGATTGTGGTGTACAAAAACCTCCAAAACTTTTCTCATTCTCCTCCTGCCCCAGCCATGTTGCTCCTTCAATCGACAGTATCACAACGTATAGGGTTGTAAATGAACCAATGCATTCGAACTCAATAATACTCGATTATGTTCGTTCAAATTAGTAGCTTGAACAATTTGAACAATTTTTAAAAGCTCAGAGCTTAAATGAACTAAACATGAATATAGTTGAATTTGTTCATTTATGTTCAAGAACAAATTCATTTGTTGTTCAACAAGTAACTTGTTAACTACTCGACATTAAGCTCGATGACAACTAATATCATATATGATATATTATTTAAATAAAATTTAATCAAATATAATTTTTTTAATTAAAGATTTAATAGTAATATATTATTATATCAATAATATTTTTTATTAATTATTAATTATATATTTATTTTATTAATACATAACATAAAATTATTTATTTATTTTATTAAAATTTGGGTGTTAGATGTGCAAATACATAAGACTTATGTGGTATGTATGAATGCCCCTTAAAATTAATTTTAAACCCTCGGAAACCTCACTTTTCCTCTGGCCATTCACAGTTTCACGTCTCCCAATTTCGCTCAAAATATATAAAACCCTGAGTTGATAGGGCGTGCAAACATCAAAAAACAACGAGATCACGGTGTGCAAGGATCTCTGAAACTCTAGCCTATCTCATATATCTCTCATTTCCACTATGCTCTTAAATCCTACCTGATTGGGAAGTATTGTTGAAAAAGTGTAGTGCAACATTGTGAGTTATATATGATTAGCAATAAGGATGATGCCACAACTCAATATAAGCTATCCATAAAATTGTTCAAAAAAGCTAGGAAAAGAACAAGCGTATATCACTATAGGAGAACCAACACTTACATTTGAATTTCGGAGTTGGATACAAACTTGAAAGTATAATAATGATAAAATATGAGAGATTACATCTCATATGATCATGATTCGTGAGTTACATTTTATTTTTACAGAGTTTATAATCTATAAATTAGTAAATGAGAACAGATTTATGAAATTGTTTATTGAGATATTTACATAAAAATCTATATATTAATTTGAATTTTTAGTTTTTTTATTAACTTGTTAAAATACTCTTTCACTGGTCATAAACAAATCAAGTTCAAACATTGAAAAATTTTAACAAATCAAGTTTGAACAATATATGATAGTTCGACACAAACTCAAACCGAACATGAACAACTTATAATCACATCAAGCCAAGTCTGGACTATGATATACTCAGCTCGATTACAACCATAGCGACGTACAAAGACATTTGAAGCTCCCATCTTTCGCGAAGGCAGTGAAACTCCCATAGTTTTCCTCCGAAGCTCCCATCTAATTGTCTTCAAATCCGACCTAAAAAACTCCCATTCCAAGCTTGCATCTTGGAACGAAGACGACACCTCCTACAACTAGTTCGTAGTCAAAAGCGACTCCATCTCCAACCGAGTGCTAAAGCTCACCCTCGACGGCCTCTCCCTCTCAAGCAAGCTCGACCGTGGCCTTCTCTGGCTTCGAAGCCTCTAGACCCTTTCTCTTTACAGAGACAACTTCTCCGGCTCCCACATCGTCGAACAATAGAAAAGAAGGCGACGGAGTCGTTAACAGGAGTTCGGAATCCATAATATTAAACTTTTGTGTGTGAGATACGCAAATTAGTAGGTTTTGCATGCTATGTATGTAAAAACCCCAAAAAATAAACAAGCATAAAATGTATAGTCTTTTTCAACATATTTTTTTAAGGGGATTTTACATACATAGCACCCAAAAACTTTCATATTTACCTATGTCACATCTAAACTTTCATAATCAAAAACATCATATGAAAAGTTGCACTCATCATCACTTTTTAATTGTCAAATTCACCGTTTCATCCATAGGTAAAGTTTTATGATTGTAAAAATGGAAGGTTAGGTGTGAGATAGGTAAATCGATAAGAATTAGGTGCTATGTATGTAATTTTCCTTATTTTCAAATGATATACCTTAATACTATTTCAAACCAAACAATCCAAACCGTAAATTCCCATTGTTTCATATCCAAAACCTTGGTAGATACTACAAATAAAAACCCATCCAGAAGTGTTGAACCTTTTATTCAGCCCTATAAGCAAAACATCAATTCTTCAACAGAATATATGATTTTAAATCATAAAAAACACCAAAACAAGCATAGTAGAGTACAACATAAGAAGAAAATCGCAGAACTATTAATAAAATTTGAGTCCTACGCTTTTGAAAATAAATAAGTCAAGAATGAAAAGAGCCGCATGCTTAACAGAGGACGTCTTACATAATTTCGAATCGTCATCTCCACCAATCCCAACAACAGACCTGCAAACAAATAAAGAATAATAAAAAACCATTTTGAAACAAAAGAGCTCCACAATCAGCGAAGGATAATAAAACCAGAAGAAACAGCCAGGAATCAATCTTCAAGTTGCAGCAAAAAGCATATAAGTTAGACATCACTGAATTCTACCGTTGAAAACTCCAAAAAAGAAAACTCATAATTTCATAACACAGAAACCATGACAGATACAGAACCATATAATCTGAAACTCAAAAACATAAAATTCGGTGGCCATACCCTAACTTCTCCGCAACAAAATGGCTTCAAATCTGGATCATAAACTATTTGATCATTTATTTCAAAACCCAAAATTCCCCTGACTACAAATACGAAGCGTACGAGCGCTGTACAGAAAGACCTGAGGAAGACTAAAGTACGAATCTCCTCTCAGATTTGTACCGCCGCTCCTGTGTCTGAGAAAGATACGTCCCCACGCATGCGGGCAATCCAAAAACAGCATCGAACGAGGCGACTCTTCAAAGCCAATCAAATTGCTTCTTCAACATTTGAGAAATAAAAAACCAATTTTTAAGCCAAACTTTCAACGGAAGCAAAGTAAGAATAAAAAAAGATTGGGGCAAAAGAATGTTTTTTTTTAATTTTTTTTTGCTCTCGAGGATTGCTAGGGTTTGAAGGGGGTATAGAGAGGAAGGGAACGATTGCTGTTCTGTTGCATCTCTCTCTTGCAGAAGAGGGAAGAGTCGCTTTTGACTGGGTACAAGCAAGGAGAGAGAAAGAGAGAAGTGCGGAGGGAGGGTGGGCGACAGGTTCGTGTTAGTGGAAAATGTTATTTTTTTTTGGCTAATTATAGTCATATATTTTAAAATTAATGGCTCTTTATTAAAATAAAACGGGTGATTTGCAGATATACCAGTTTTAGACGGGGGCATTAACGTAAATAACACCCATCCAATTCTTGTAGATTTACTTATCTAAGATTTAAATTTTATATTAGAAGATTTAGAGGCATACCACTCACTTCCTTTATATTTATATATCTATAATCTAACTTCAATTTTTGCATACATGCTTTATATATTTTAAATTTTAAAAGTTAAAATAATGATCTTTTTTTAGGATATGAAATATTTGGGAAAGTAAATGTAAAACAAAAAATATAAAAAATAGGTGTTAGGTATGTGAATTCATAGTGTATGTAAAAAATATAGGATATGAAATATTTGGTAAAGTAAATGTAAAACAAAAAAAAAATAAAAAATAGGCGTTAGGTATGTGAATTCATAGTGTATGTAAAAAATATGTCAATGTTGATCTTGAAAGGATCTAACAGTCTAGAAGGGAAGATTACGATGAAGGCTGGCTCACCGCCAAGAGGTGAGGCCCATTTGACCGACTGAATGAAATCATATGTGTTGAGTCAGTAAAACAAAAGACGGTCGGATCATGAAACAAACAAAAGATGACCAGAGGATGGAAGAACATGCGTCAAGTCACAAATGAGATAAAGGGGCGTTCGAACCAACCAATACAGAAAAGGTAATATGATGTGATAGCATACCCTATATTAGAGTCAACCATCCCAAGGATGCCCAGAGGCTCTTCACAGTTAACAAGAATCGACAAACAGGCTGCATTAACCAATCGAGCCACGCCGAAAAAGCTGATATTGTCGACCCTAAGCCAAATAAGTATAGTCGATTGAGCCAAAAAGCAACCAGACGAAAAGCCCATGCATATAAACACTAGAAATATCCTAGAACATACCCATTTAAATCAGGAGTATATTTTTGTTTGTTTTTCTCTCTTTTATTTTTGAAGGAGGCGTCAGCTTGTCGATTATCGTATAATTCTCTTTCCCAAATAAGAATCTCTTCTGAGTCATATGAACTGCTTGAAGAAGAGAGGAACCGAAAAATACAAACATATGATAAAGCGAAAAATAAGAGAAAAAAACAAAACGAGAAGAGCATATATGCGATAAAACTCGCAATGATATGTAAGTATATCCGCCCAAACAAGATTGGGTGAAAACACCTTGAATCAATATACATGAAAGAATGCTTACGTAAACTCCCATAACTAGAGGTTCAGATGGAGGTGCCTGTTTTGAGGTTATGAATGCTCCCAGAATGACGTATTCTACTTGGTTAATTATATCTCAGGGGGTTGCCCAATAATACTCTTAATCCAAATGGATTTTGCTTGCTTGACATGACAACTAACACAGAGCTATAAAATAAGGTTTTCTCATAAGGGGAATGCTCTCATGCTTCTAAGTCTCACTAAGTCATCAGGCAGAGAGTGAGTCTCTCACATCCCAGGTGGGTAGCAGCTCATCGACATACAAAGCCTGTGAAATAACTGAATCATTCCAACGAGGGATCTCGATACGTCAAAACACATACATGCATAAGAGCGGAGGATAAATCGTCGTATCTCAATCGGGTGATAGCTTATCGACAATCAAACCGTCGAGATGATGCCAACGAGGACAAAAGGAGAGAAAGGGCTCAACAAAGGTAGTCGAGAGGAGAGGAAGAGTATTCCCTAAAAGGTAGAGGTAGCCAGGTTAGGGTGCCACAAACCCGTCACCTCAAGTTGACCCAACACGTTTTGAGACCCCCCGTTAGCAATTCGTGAATTACGACGTCCATATGGAATCTTGGTAGCCCTAAGGTCAAAGGAAGGAAACTCTATCACATGACTATCAGTTGGTGTTTCAAGAGGTGGGACTTATTCCCGCCAATGTGGTGATGATACCTCAGGAAAAGAAGGAGAAAAAGAGGTTCAACTACAAAGATGGAAACGCTTCGACAAGAGGACTTATACTTGTCTGGGTCTGGGAGCATTCTAACACCCTAGGCGCTCTAGACAACTACCTATATAGAAATCTATACTGGGTCAATCGGGTTGGAGAAGCACGGTGGCTTCTTCTCAGGACATGCAAACATGATGTAGTTATCTATCACAATCATAAAAGTGGAGATCCTATTAAAAACGAATGGGTTAAGTCCCTGCATGCAGCCCATTTTAAAACTGGCCCAAAGGCCATGCAGAAAAATAAAGACAAGTTTTAAAAATCCTAACTGTTTTAATCCTAAAATTTTGATTATTTTAATCTTTTATTATAATTTTTTAAGTAAAAAAATTATAATTTTAGAGTCCTTAATGAGCAATCCCAGATGCACAAAAATAAACAATAGAAAATAATCGAGACATGCAGGCACTCAAAAAAGAAAGCACTCCAAAATAGAATATAAAAGTGGTCAAATATCGCTGGGTCGACAACATATCCCAAGAAAGCAGAAAAAGCAGTCAGACTCCGCATATATATGCCCAGTTCTAATTCTATATAAAAATATAGGTATAGAACATGAGTTGCCACTCTTGGTCCCCGTCACGCGATTTGATGTGTCATTCACCTTGAAGCTCGTGTTCATACCTTATTTCCAATACAGAATTGGCCTAAGAACTCTATAAAACACATATGAACGCGAAAAAAAAGACTCAACCTGCAGAAAAAAAAAACGTTCGCAAGGAAAGTTATGTTACATGAATAGGTCGTGCCTTATAGGCTTAGAAATCATTACAAGCTTTCCCTTTTATTGTACCAATGTGTATGCATATGTATAAACACGATACCCCGCACAAGAACGCCTTACTCTACTACCATGCACAATAGGCATACAAGCACACCAAAAAAGTATAAAATGCAATGCATGGCTAGCATAAGAGAAAAACACCACAGAATAATAGTCAGAAGCGTCAAAAAAGAACAATCTAGCATCTTAAATCCTAGCCTAGCACAATAACTAACGAGAAAGTGCCCTAACCAGCATCTAAATGCAAGGTCAGTCTCTCGGTAAACTATGACGTTGACGGGGTCGCCTTACCGGCCCTGCCCTAACGATCCAAGGGATCTAAAGGGTGTCACCCAAGGTGGATTTTGAAAAATAAGTTGTCCTTACATATGGCCTAGTTTACTTTATGCTTAATTTTTAAACTATAGTGGATATAAAATGTAAAAAAATATATTTTCCTTAACATTTAAAATAACGACCATTAAATGTGGACCCGTAATATGTCGGGTGACACGAGTTAGATCTATTGGATCCTTAGCATAGTCATACTTGTGTCAATCATGATAGCATAACTCACATTGCTCATTAGAATCAACCTGACAAGCAATGTTTGTTAAGATATCGCGACCAACATAGGATCACTCTCATAATGAGTAGGCTCGCAATCTATGCACGCATGCAAATGCAAATGCAAACAGTCACACACAAGAAGCGGTGAGGGTGATTGTGCCAAGGAGGCAATGACTCAGAAAACTAGGTGTCGTAGAGGCAGTGACCTAAAAAAGATGGGTGTGTCACGGAGGCAGTGACTCGGGAAGGGTGTATTGTGGAGACGGTGACCGAACGATGTGTGTTTTGGAGGCAGGGGTTCAAAAAATGAGTGTATCGTGAAGACAGTGACCCGAAGATGGGCATGTTGTGGAGGCAGTGACCCGACAACTATGTATGTCGTAGAGGCAGTGACCTAAAGAGGTGCATCATAAGCAAATGATAATGATCATGCAAACTAACATACAAGATGCAAATACACCATACAAGTAGGCAAACACGCACTTGCACATGTAAGAAAAGATGCAATATGCAAGTGGTGGGCCAACCAAGTCGGAGGAACCAGTCAGACCAAAGAGATGATGACCGGGTTAGGGCAGTCGGTCGAGATGAAGTGAAATGTCGACCAGGCCAGGGGTGCCTGTCAAACCAAGCCGAAATGCCAACCGGGTTGGGGCGGCAGACCAAGGCAAAGTGAACTGCTTACCGGGTAGTGGAGGTCAGTCGAACCAAAGTGAAATGTTGATCGGGCCCGGGGCAGTCGATCAAGGCAAAGTGAAGTGTTGACCGAGCCAGGGCTGCCAGTCAAACTAAGGTAAAATGTCAACTGAGTTTTGCCGGTTGGTCAAAGCACAGTG